CTTTGTGTCTAAATTTAACTAGCGCCTCCCCTAGTTCATTTTCACCCCATCAATCATCCCATTTTATTTTCTTAATATCATCTAACATTCACTAAAAATATTTCTATACTTATTTGTTAATTTATTATGCATCTCTCTCGTCTAAATAAAGGCGCCACAGAATAAGGCTCAGCCCAGTCATTCTCACTGTTGTCTCTCAATGCTGAGACAGCACCTGGAGCTCAAGAAATATTTTCCTAAAGATGAGTCAACCCACCAACAGCACTAAAGCTTTCCTATTTTAAATGCCTTTTATCAAAATGAATATGGTGAGGCTCAGAATACTCCCGTCAGCTGCCCACGTCAGGCAAGATTCCTGTTCAGATCTTTCTTCCTCCATGGCCTTGACCACATCTCGTAGGCTTGTCATGGAGAAAGCCCTCATTTGGTACTGGTGGAAGGAATTAAACCCCTCCCTCTTTTGTTTGTAGGTGAGCTCTCTTTAAGCCATGGAGAGAAGCAATCACACAGTGACCAAGTTCATCCTAGTGGGTTTCACCACAGACCCCATGATGCAGCTGGTCCTGTTCGTGGTGTTCCTCTGTGTGTACTCTGTGACCATGGTAGGAAATACCATCCTCATAATGTTGATCTGTAATGACTGCCGGCTACACACTCCCATGTATTTTTTCATTGGGAATCTGTCTTTTCTGGATCTCTGGTATTCCTCTGTCTACACCCCAAAGATCCTTATGACCTGCATCTCTGAGGACAAAAGCATCTCCTTTGCTGGCTGCCTAGCTCAGTTCTTCTTCTCTGCGGGGCTGGCGTATAGTGAGTGTTACCTGCTGGCTGCCATGGCTTATGACCGCTACGTGGCCATCTCCAACCCCCTGCTTTATGCTCAGGCCATGTCAAGGAGGCTGTGTCACTGTTTGGTTATATGTTCCTATACTGGAGGTTTTGTCAACGCTGTCATACTCACCAGCAACACATTCACATTGGATTTCTGTGGTGACAATGTCATCGATGACTTTTTCTGTGATGTCCCACCCCTGGTGAAGTTGGCATGTGATGTGGAGGAGAGCTACCAGGCCGTGCTGTACTTCCTCCTGGCCTCCAACGTCGTTACCCCCACTGTGCTCATCCTCGCCTCCTACCTCTTCATCATCCATGCCATCCTGGGGATCCACTCCACCCAGGGCCGCCTCAAGGCCTTCTCCACTTGCTCCTCCCACCTGACCTCTGTCACCTTGTACTATGGCTCCATTCTCTACATCTACTCTCGTCCAAGTTCTAGCTATTCCCTTGAGAGGGACAAAATGGTTTCTACATTTTATACTGTGCTGTTCCCCATGTTGAACCCCATGATCTACAGTCTGAGGAATAAAGACGTGAAAGAAGCTCTGAAAAAAACCCTTCAGGTTCACATTATCTGAGGTCTAAATTGACATAAATTTCTCAAATAAGTGCTCAATGAAAATGGACTCCTTTGGGGGGAGATTGGAGAACTGGATGAAAAAACACCTCTTTTTATATTCAAATAAACCCAAAGAAAAAGATTTTGTTTGTATGAGTTCATTTTGCTTTAGTGATCAGGCTACTATAAAATAGAGATTCAATTTAATATTAACATAGTTTTTTTAAAGTGGCATCATGGTTTAATCAAAATAGAAGTGTATATATTATATATGACATCCCAAGGATTATATTTGACTTTAGTATCTCCCATCAGATTGACCCAATTTTTTTTCCCTATGTGATGGCTTTATGGGGATATAAAGGTGTTATATGGATTCTGGAGATATGTGGAATACACCCCTAATTTTTATTGTCCAGTACTAACAGAACTGGGTCACTAGAAGAATAAGGACTGTTAAGACTATTGTGATGAAAAGAGAGAGGTCAGTGACATGTTATTTAATGAATGCAGATGAAAAGAAAGATCAGAAATAGTGCTAGTACAAACAGTGAAGTACCTACAACTATTTGTTCTAAAGTTTTCATTTAAATGCACTTTATAC